GGAGCCTCTCCGGTGTCCTCAGGCTGCCGGGGCGCACCAACCCCGGCTGCTTTTCCTCCCCATTTCCACCAAACGGCAGCATCTTTGCCGTGCGCAAACCGCAGCGAGTCTCTTTATTGCACAGTCAACACCGCAAGAGGCTGAAAGTCAATAATCACCCAAGTCAGGAGTTTCCAAGCTCTCACATGGGGCTGAAACCTCCGGCGTGTTCCTTCCCCTCCTCTGTAAGGCACTGGAGGGTCCATAGGATCTAACAGTGTCTCGACGCCCCAAGAAGAAAGAACAATATTGTCTTCTCCTTTTTAAAAAATATGATTGAATTAATAAGCAGTAGTCCAAAACCCAGCCCATGAAACAAAAAAACCAACCCAACAAAAAAAAACCCAAACCCAACCCCCACAAAACCAAGAAAACCCAAGTAAGCAACGAGAAACCCAACTGTGATGAATGTGGTTATGCTGCCCAACTGCAAACTCAGAGCTTGCAGGAGTTTCTCTGACCTTGGTCCAACATCACTGGTGTTGGCCGTGTTCATAGTCAACAGAAATTCTACAGCCTGGATAAATATGTGTTTAGAACTATGGAAATGTACCTTCAGCATAGGTAAAATGTATTTTTAGGCATATGTAAAGTCAAATCATTTGTCAAGTATTAATTTTATTTACCCAGCACACAGTCATGTTTTTATTCTATAAATGTATATCTAGGCACTTAAAATGTGAATATTGGCACAAGCCCGTTTGACAACTAGCATAGAGCCATTAAAATGTATCAAAGATGTTTATGAGAATCCGGTTGTTCTGTACCTTCAGCGTAGGTCTGACAGCGGATCGGTGGTAAATTTGAGTCGGTGGTTTATTGACCTAACGAACCGTAACCGAATCTTTAGCAATCTTAGAGTTACGATATGCCAGCTTGGCTGGTAGAAGTCTGCACACTAGAATTGACGTCCAACCAGAATAATGAAGGTATTACAAGCAAACCGTACGTTAAACAAGAAAGTTATTTTAATGATCGCTCCCCAGATACCCAAAGGCACTAGTCAACACTGTGGACTAATGACCTACAAATGTGTGTGATTAGTACACATTTTTAGCATTACAATATTTTTTTCAACAGCTTCAGATGGCACATTAAGTGAAATAAATACTTCTTATTTCATCTGCAACAGCTTTGTCCTGAATACCCTTCCATTTGTTTAATTTAATAGAAAAAAGTATCAAACAAAAACTGAGCTGTAAGAACCACGCTGAACTGCCAAACTCTCTCTGCTGTCCTTCCTCCAGATATTTTGACAAATCATATTGGATACACACCTGTGTAACTCTGCATTTACGCCGATGCAACTTCTCTAACATCAGTGCAATTACACAGCCAGAAAACTGAAGTGACGCCGTGGTAAATCAGAGCCATTATTCCACAGATCCGCAGGCTCAGTGTAACACCACAGATGTTATAACATCTCGACTGAGGACAATTTTACATTTCTGTTATCCATTGCAAAAACCTTTTTAATGCACAAATTACATTTTAAAGGACTACCATAAAGTATATGCTTCAAATAGACCTTTTACAATATAACACAAAATTCAAATGACATTTTTTAGGAAAGCACTTGAAACTTTAACACTTAGGTCTGGACAACATTAGATTACTTTAAGCTGTAAACCTTAAGAAGTTTTATGTGGTTAAATAAAATCAGCGTTACAATTTCCAGGTATTATAATTATTGAGCAGATTGTAACAACAAGATATAATTATAATGTAAACATGAAGTCAGGAGACAGCTACTGAGAAAACTCTCTCGATTCTTTGTAGAATTGTATCTGCACATAGTAAAATCAGCAACAACTGGAGGAGGTTACAGTATTTCATCCTACATATTGATATCAATGTTTTGCAAGCAGCAGTCTATACATCATCCCCGTTTTCGTATTCATTTACAGAATCACTACTACCTTGGAAAAAAAAATCTCCAGGTCAAATGCTGCTGCCAGGTATCAATACAACATTCGGAAGGAAATATTTAAAACCATCAGATTTTGTTAATTGCCTGTGTATGTGTAGATATGTGAGATTTTATATATGCAAGCATATATAAAATCATAAACCTCACTTAACTTTCAAAATTGAACTACCTCTAGGTAAGAAATACAAGACCTTTTTCAATAAATTTAAAGGGTTTATTTATACCTGAGACATTTTTGCATATTGACGTCTTTGTACCTTTACCTCTAGGTACTCCCGTAAGTCCTTTATTCTTTTCTGGGGTCTCAGCCATGGGCTTTGGCTGAGTCCTTCCTTATCTAACCTGGATGTATAAACAGAGACATAACAGAATTAAATACATATATGTGTAAATAACCAGTTGCTGTACAAGCAGACAGGCTGGTTTATACAAACCCAGAACTAGTTCACCATTCCTGATACTTTTCACAACGTCTGATTCAAAAAAGAATTATAGTCCTTTATACAGGGTGATACGTGTTTCTACTCATTGGGTGAAAAACAACTTTTTGAAATATTTCTCTGGGTAATGGATCATTGGCTTTACACGACACGTTGAAAACGCTCCTTCTTGGCTGACCTGTTTCCCCATTCTTGAGATCAACCCATTTCTCCACCCAGCAAGCAAGAAAACCAGGAGTTGAGGAGTAATAAGTTCATGTGGCTACATTACACTAAGGTCACAGGCCAACGCAGAGGAACCGAGATTTTCAAACAAATTTAGAGAGTTTAGGAGCCCAGTTCCTCTTGAAACTCATGGCATTTGGATGCCTAACTCCCACAGATTCATCAGAAAGCGCTGGCTTTCGGCTCTTCAGCCCTGCAGATCACACGTGCTAAGCATTGAAGCACAAGCGTCAGCAGGGACATAACCTACATAAGGCTCTTGCAGAATTTCACAGTGCTATTTAATTTAGCAAACACCAAACTAAATTTAAAGGCTCCCTTTGTAATCTAAACAGCTCAATTTAAAAAAAAAAAATTTAAAATCTACCATGTTTCACTCCATGTTGCTTCTGACAGAGGCAATTCTCTAGAAGTGCTGACATGCAAATACGGTGTTATCTTATTTGATAACATAGCAATTAGAATTGTCGATTTTATTAAATATAGTTTAGCCAATGGAAAGATACTAGTGGAAGTGAAATAAAGTGTGCTTTTAGACACGGAATCGAACATACTATAACATCAAGAAAAATAACAGTGGTATATCCTTTAAAGACATCACAAAATGAATCAGCTTCCAAGTAGATTAGTATACCCTTCTTATGTTGCAGAAACACTGTTTTTTGCACTATATTTTACAGAAAAGAGTTGACTTTAGTGATGACGGTCAGCAAAGCTGTCTTTAAACAGCTCTTTGTTCTACTGTACAGGCATATAATGGGGGAAAAGAAAAGCTACATTTCACTGGCAATAGGACTTCATAGACCTTAGAAATTTTTGATTTAAAATAGTGATATGTAGCATATTTCTGTGTAAAATAAATCCAACTCTCTTTCCCAAGTAGCAGACATTTCGAAGACCTGACACCTGTAGTAGATAAAATGTAGTCAGTGTTTTTAAAGATGACGAGGAGGACACACAGTGATGTACCAGTAACGACACAGTGACGTGTTAAGCATCAGATATAAGAAACTCTACTGCTTGCATCCCAGTTGGCTGTTCCGATTTTACAACCGCATCCATTCTAAATCTCCTTTCCATTGCTATTCTTTCGTGGACCATATTCGGCGGCTAAACCGAAGGCGTTTTGGGTGAGAACACCTTAGCTCCATCTGTCCCAAACCCGCTCATACTGAAGCAAACGGTGCACATCTCTGACCTTGGGTGCTACGAACGCTTTGCGACCCGGCGGTGGAGTTTCCCTTTCTGAAATTCAGGAGCTCTCTGGCGTGATTGCCACCAGCGTTACGACTTTGACGGAGCAACTGGCACAGGGAGGCACTTATGTGACATGTTTAAAACTTATCTTTGGTAAACACACACAAGAACTTCTAACTAATGTTTTGCTTCCTGATCATAAGAGAAATCTTAATTTGCTACGAGTGTATGTGTGCAGGTATTTAAACTTATACAGGATGTTGCTAGTATAAAATATTTTTTCAAATGCCACTGCCAAGGATTTAATTTAATTCACCTAAAAACAACGCAGTTCTGGGCTTTTTGTTTTTTTTCCTGACTCCGCTTATTATGCATTAAAGCACCTCTGATCAATAACAAATTAGCAATAGAAAGCAAGCCCTACGTGCTCAATTTTCACCTTCTTTCTCTTTCTATTACCTTGTTTTTCAAGACCTATTTAATCAGAATTGTTGTACCTCTTACAACTTTCATTATCTGTGAGGCATCATCCAACGCTGCATTACTTAAGCAGCCAAATCCCTCACTCGGATCGCTGGGAATTTTGGATACACAAAAATGCTGAGTCTGCTCTTGGTGGGGATCCTTCCTGCTAACCATGACCAAACAGTACTCTGGTGGGGCGAAGGACCTCACGTCTCTAACTGGACCTGAAGAGCGATCAGACCAGAGCCTGCAAAGCAGAGCGCAAACCACCAAGAGACAGCCCATCAATGCGTCTTTTCAAAAGGTGCTGCAAATAAATGTTGCTGGAGCTGCATGGGTATAACTGGTGGATGATCTACTTTAATGTACCCAGAACACTATCACTTCTAAAATCAGGCGTTTCTACTGAGAGGTATTTTATTGGTTTAGTTTTTCATTTACACTATTCAAATTTTGCTGAAGAATTTTTTGGAACCCAGAACTTAGTGCATTTCATTTTATAAAATTAGAATAATTTATATGCTTCTCTTTACATTGAAAAAAAAAAGTATAGCCCAAACATACATGGGGGTATAAATACTTCATAGATAGCCATTTCACTTATTTTAATCTGCTTAACGGTGATTTAGACATTGATCAACCAAATAACTTTGGCAACTTGCACAAAAATATGTCCTTAAATCAAAAGTGATGATAAAACTTGCTTTAATGAGGCCTTTATTACGGAGAGAATTGGAAAGAGAGAGGAGTGTAAGTGCTGAGGAGGTTATCGTGTTCCTAAACCATGCCGCTTTGCATTTGTATGTGAAATGGGTACGGCTGGTAGATGATAGGTGGTTGTCCGTGAGCAATGTAGTAATTGCTGAAGTTTCTGTCACTGATATATGGAGCAGGCTGATAATAGCATGTTACATTGGCTGCATTTGGGATGATGTTTTGTTCTCCGAGTACTTTTAAAGCCAGAATTGTGATCATATTCAGAGTTTGTCTTCGTTCATGTCCCATGAGACAGACTGTGCTCTCGTTTACAACTCCACGCAGAGTCATCAAGTAGTCATACTTGCTTTTCTCTTCCCCAATGAAGTGGTTGCGCAGATATGACTCAATTTTCCTCTGCTGCTCAGCAACATCTGGAAAATCAATAAAGAACCTGGAGCACATGTAACGTTCCAGAGATTTAATTTCAGCCTCGTCTTCTGGCTTATAGTCACGAACCAGGAGATTGCTGTACTTCAGGAGGCCACCTCCTCTGATTTCCTCCGGGTTCCTTGTGGAAATCAGTTTGTATTTTAAGTGGTCCATTGCTTCGTTGAAGTCTCCATACATACTCTCAGCGATGACAGTGGGGTGAGAGTCTTCCGTCAGTTTGCAGTCTGTTGCTCTGTAAACGTTTAATATGGAGTCCAGTATGATCTGGAAGGAGTCCACGCTAAACTCAAACTGCCGTCTGAGCGAGTTGACGAACTTCAGTTCTACATTCTTGCCGCTGTTGTTTGACAGTGAGATGAGGCTCCAGCGATCGTGGTCGGTGGAGACTTTGACCATCTTCTGCACATAGGCATCTTTCATAGTCTGAGCAGTGATTTTTTCCTTATTAACACATTTTGGCAAGAAGTCCAATAGACAATTAAGAACTGCTTCCTTAACGACCTGGAACTCGAGCTCACTTGGAAGTTCCACGCCAAAAATGATGTCTAGGTCCTTGTAACTGGTTCCGTTCTGCTTTACTAGGATGTGACTGGCTGTCGAGCCGTTCAGGCGGATATCTCTAATGTTGATTTGCTTTTCAATGAGCTGTTCCTTTACCACATGAATGATATCCTTTGGCTTTACATCCAGTGTTGGAAAATTTCCTCTGCCATGAATAGGTATGACCTCAGCTAAAACTTGATCCAGGATTTTAATCTGATCCCAGGTGAGACTACTGAATCTGTGGTCTAAGTCCTCAGTCATTGTGATGTCGGTTGGCTAACTAGGGAGAAATAGAAATGAAGAGACAAATGTTAGAACTTGCTCAAATACAAGAGAGCCTGGCATTTCACTCGGTTATAACATATATCTTCCTTCCTCAGTGCAGGGACAAAGCTGTTCATTTTACAGAGACACAATCCCAGTTAACGGTCTGAGTCAACCACTGCACTTGTCACAGGCTTTTAATTGAATTTTAATGTACTCAGGTTTTAATCCTGCTGAGAAACCATTGTGTTATTGTATAATCCATGACTCAAAGTAAATGCAGTAAACCATATAGACTTCATTTAAAACTACTCAAAGGTTAATAACATGAAATACTTGGTGGTTATGATGAAACTCCAAATAAATTTCACTGTGAAGAGACAAAAGGAGCAAAATGAGCAAATTTGTTCTTTCTGTCCTGCCTAGAAACCTCCCTCTACCTTCAGTGACCTACATACTTAAAACTACTGAAAGACCGGGAGGTTTTAAAAAGCAAGAATGATGCAACATGCTCATTGTTTACCTAGCCATATGCCTTGGATGTACTTTAGTCTCTGTGGATCGTTTATACGCACGCATCCTTTAATACCACTTGTTACAGTTTAAGGACTGGATATCCGCTAATTGTTAAGCTGCTTCCACTACATTTCTGAGGCAAAATCTTTCCTTTCTAAGTCATTAACCGTCTTCCTACATTAATGTTCCAATGCTGCAAGTTATGGTTTGCAGAACCGGTAAGACTATAGAATACACGGGATAAAGCTCAGGCTCTATAATTCCGCCGTTTAAAATTATATGTTGTCTTATATCATCATATTTGGCGATCAGATAGACCTGAGTATGGACAATTTATTTACATTTTACAATGAGGGGAAAAAAAGGTGCAAACCCCACAATACTGGTTTTAAAATATTTCTAATTGATCATATGCAAAACTTTAATTAAATTTTTGTAATGGGAACCTGAATGTTTTATTTTTTATTTTTATTTATGTATACTGTGAATGTAATTAAACACAATCATGCAATTATATAACTAGGTGTGATTACCGTAAGTAAATAAGAAAAGAAACTATGAAAAAGAAAAACACAACTGGGCATTAGGTGTCCCAGGTGTAATGAAAGATGGAAATCTTCATCTTACTGTCTCCTGACATTACTGTCAGTGTTACAGAACAGAAATAGTTCAGAAGGCTGAAAAACTTCCAGAATCCACAGGCATGGTTTCATGCTGTGTCCCCTCTTGCCTGCTTACGCTTCCTCGTAAGAACAAAAGAACTTTGGGGTAGTCAATGCTTGGAGAGTTAATCAGAAAGGTTTATTGCTGAATCCTAACGTACCATTTTTCAACACTCTCTCATAAATCGCATGATAACTCCGAGGCGGGTATTGTGATTTACTGCTAACTCCCTGATTAACCCCAGTGCTCGGCCGCTGTGCCTCAGCGCGCTGGGTGTGAAGCTGCGTTTGCTGCTCTGAGGTGAAGGAGAACATTTACGGACATAGCGGGACCTTCCTTCATCGCTCGGGAGAGCAAAACTTCTTTAGTCAATACAGTTATTTTGGGCATTTCTTTACTCTGCCGAGTCAGATGTGGATATCCTCAACCCATGGGAAGCTGCTGTTTAGACACTTTATAGATGGAGGTACAGATACTGAAAATACTTTCAATTACTGAAAGGAATTTCTTTCTTCTGCACAAACATTACGATTTTGCTTTCTCCTTTAATGCTGCATGTGTTAGCTAAGGCTTGTTTTAAGAATATTTCTGTTGGGTTTATGCAAGTTTAGTTCAGAGAGAATTCAGGGAAAGTAAAAATAATTTCAGAATAACTGCAATAAAATATTTGTTACATCGCAAGAGTATCGCAACAGATTATTGTGTTGAAACACTACCTGAGCACCTAAAAAGAATACAAAAATAAAGATCGCTGTATTCCTTCATACTGCACACAAAGAGGGTGGGAAATATACCACGGCACTAAACTTCATAATGGATTTGCCACTGAAAAACTATGCCATCCCTTGTAGGTAGATGGCTGTTTCTCAGAAGGCAGCGATCGGGACCGCTGCTCAGATGAAGCCGTCTCTCCCAGCCGGGCTGAAGCAAAGCTGGAATTTGGAGGGACTGAAGAAAAGTGACTGGAGATGCGAAACTTCAGGCGGTGTTCAGGTGTGATCCGGGCCGGCTCGGTGAGTCACCCGCCGTGTGAAAGAAGTAGTTAAGTTTCTAATTTTAGTTTTGGGAAGTTCCTGCCAACACTGCAAATGTACTACTGAAACATCGAGAAATGCTTCCGCAGACAGATGGCTAAAACATATTTTTTCAGCTAAGGCTCAGGAATAAAAATAAATTAAAATCACACTGAGTAATAACACTACCAAAAAGCCTCTACTGTTGTTTCTTAATCCATAGTGATTACATATGTATATTGCCATATATTTTCCTTCCCCCACCATCAGATTCCACATTCTGGAATATTTTAGTAATTTCAAGTCACTTGTGAGCTGACATGGCTTGGGAATATTACGGAGCTATTTTTCACATACTTCTACTACGGTTTCAGCTCCCAGGTAAGCTAATCAAGGGCATATGTAATTTCAGGCACCTTTCTGGCCTCATTACAAAGAATGGAACTAAGCCTATGTTTGAAGTTAAACGCATGCTTTAAAAGTTGGCTAAATCAGGACCAAAGTTAGGAGTTTAACTGCCTCTGAATTGACGGTGTGAAGGTCTTGCATTCAGTCCTACAGTTCTGGCACAACCCTGTAGTCCTTGGCATTGTTTACGTAGCACATAACTCCATATACATAGCATGCAAAAATACATATGTTTGCATACGTACTCAGAAGTACAGATTATGGTGGACCAGCTCTAACAATCTCTTAGCAAACTTATAGATGTCAGAATTGCTGTATAAGCAGTAGGTTTTGTTATGTGATTTGTCTGATATTGCAAAACTTTGAGAGAGCTTTTCAAGGTTAATGCTGTGATGTAAAAGAAAGGGCTTAGAGATGGGAATGTTGAAATTCAATCCCCTTTTTCAGCACAGGGACCCTCTTCAAATACTTTTTGAAAATCAGAAGATGGAAGTATCCCTAAATAAGCTTAGAAATTCTTCCATTATTGCCACATGTTTTTAGTTATTTTAGATTTTATTGCAATATACTAAGATTTTAAAAAAACAAGAAAAGGTAATATCAGCAAATATCTTTTCTGTGTTGAAGAGTCGTACCTCAAAATGTCATTTCTCTCAAGTGATTCTGATTCCTGGAGAATCTGGTGACACTTTGTGAGTTCAGAGCCTCAACACTGACGTCTGAAAAATCAGTGTTGATTTTTCATTATATTTATATAACATTATATAAATTATATAATATATA